GGATTTAATTCGAAAAACACTTTCAAATTACGTATTTTGGTGTTATTTCGTGGTGTGAGTTCCAAGTGCTCGAGCATTGGATACTTTCGCATTAAACAAGTTTCTCTTGCGTTTAAAATGTAACCGTGGTCATCTTGAATATAAAGCCGCTTCAATTTCGTGCAATATTTCAATAGAACTTCATAAAAATCTTCACGCCACATCGTACACTGTCTGATCTGAAGAACTTCAATCTTTGGCAAAATGCTTTGAAATGTTCTCATTTTCTCATTGTCTAATGACGTGCACACAATGTACAAGTGATTGACTGAGATGAAATCATTGATGTGTGATTTGAATTAGGAGAGTGGTTTTTTATGCCCATAGTAATATGAAATGAATTTTGTGACTGTATTGAAAGCCGTCGTGTTCACTCTTTCATCCACTTTTCTAAACACCGTATCAACACCATTTTTATCGATGAATTTTTCGGCACCTTTGTAATTTCGCTCAAAATATTCACCGGCAGCTCTTTTCATTACTTTACACGTTTGGCCAAAAGCATGCAAATCTTTTAATGTCAGGTATTCGAAGATTTCATCTCCGCATATCGAAATCATCTTGAAAATTGGCGGGTCTTTATGAAACGGAGATTCCTCACTCGATGCACCGGTCAAATTTGTTGGGACCTCATTGTTCTCAGATTCATTGGATCTACGTCGTTTAGGTGATTCACTCATGTTCTATTTTTGAAGAGGAATTCTTTTTCAAAATCAACAAATAAACTGGAAAAATGCGCAATTTCAAAAAAAGTAAACAATTACCAGTGACCGGTTCGCGCATATTTCTATGCTTGCCTAAATACGCTAGGTAGCATAGATATGCCAAGCATAGCCGCAAACGCAACCGACGCATCGCCGTTCACTCTATATGAACAATACACATGTTCGTTTATGCAGACGACCGTGCGCATACAATATAGCTCGAATCGAATGGCGACGGGTGCGTTGCGGCTTACGTCTCCGCTATGCTTAGCATAGCTATCAGGCATAGAAATATGCGCGAACCGGTCACTGACAATTACAAAAGTCAAATATAACCAAATCAACAAATTAATGAAATTAAATAGTGACTCACTGTACCGTGTAGTGCACAAAGAAGAAATGTATTATGATGATTGTGTTTGACAGAAAACAGCTGTTTTTGTCAGCACTTTCTGTGAGTCATTTAGTGAAATCATCATTTCATAAATGTAATTAACAGTGTAGACCGTATCAGCTTCATGTGAACAGTGTGGTCCTATTCACTGTGCTGTATGTATTGTAATTTGGGGGGAATGAATTTGGAACGTAAATCAGAGCAGTTTTGTCAGCAGATTTTGAATTTTTGGAATTGACTTACCTCGCAGGTTTTAGAGTTAAAAAACAGATGATTTTGATAGCTGAAGCAATAAATCATATATTATGTGAAATTAGAGCAAGACTCGATTAATGTGATATTCTTTATTCTGCATTTCAAGCTCTATTGGAATAAAACTACCATAAAAAGATTTGAATGACATCATTCATTTTAGTAATATTTGATGTTTAAAAAATAAAGGTAAATTTTTGAGAGTTTGATGTGAAAACAACAATAAAGCGTATTCTTTTAAATGAGTTTGACCTGTCATGTAGCTCTTACTATTAATTTCCAAAAGAATCTCGTTAAAATTAGAGGGTAATTATTAAAATGCAAGTATTAACAGCTACTGATTCGATTGTGTCTGAAGTCGGCTATTTTTCAATTGATTTCTTGTAGCACCTCCGCGATTTATTTTTATCCGGGCATTTGCGTACACACTTTCCATTACAAATATTGAATTTCGTACCTCGTCAACAGTTGATTGTTTCAAAGCTGAACTTTGTTAGTTAGTTACGTTAATTCACATATCGATATATTCTGTACACAGGAGTGCTTTAATGAGCAGCAATTGCTTACAGACGGGAATTTATATTGCGCATCTAGAACTGATAGTGATATCAATTTCTAAAATATTTCATCAAATTCCATTTGAAGTGTTACTTACCATTTTATATAAAAAGAGTTACAAGAAATATATAGGATAGTTATTTTCTGAAAGTTATAGCGGTTGCCAAATATGCCGTGGCAGAATTTTTTCATTTATTGATTATCTTGAATCTCAAATTTAAAAATCCATTGTTTATTTTGAAAACAATGAGAGGCGTTGACAGTGCATAAACAAAGAAAACAATTTGTTCAATTTTTTATGGGTTGCAATATACTTTAACAGTGTAATCTGATTTATCACAGTTCTCCACCCAAAATGAAATTTGCGGCCCACAAAAAGTTTATTACTGAGGACAATATCATGATTGGTTTTTTCAAATTGAATCAATGAAAAAAAAGTGTGACCTCCGGAAATCTCATCGGACCAATTTTGGCCTTATTTTCAATATTATTTAACTTTTTTAAGCGAAACCCAAAGAAATTGGATTTTCATCCCATTCAATCCAAATCGCATGAATTGAACAACCACAAAGACGCACTGACACAACAAACAAAACTCTGTTTTTGAAAATTTAGCACAATTAACGAAAAAAATTGACCACTGTAAGTATGAATGAAGACCTTTCGCTTAAATGTCGCTTCGGTTCGATGGAGTATTTAGTGCCATGGACACTAATATTGTTACAGAATTCTGACTTCAGAATAATGACTTCTCTTTGGGGTTCCATACAAAAATAAGTAGATTGTTTCACACCACCAATTGCTTCCTATAATCCACAATTTCAATTATGTTTTGGTTATTTGGACGAACGATAAGAATACAAAACATGTGCTGAAATATTTAATGAATCTAAAAACACTTTTGAATTTGGTTGGATATTTGAATTTTTGACTTTATTCCTGTGACATTATAATATAACATCTGACTACAAAAAGCTATTACAATAAAAATTTACATGCATCATTTGATAAATGAGCTTTTTGCCGTAGCATGATAAAAAATATGCGATCAGATTTCGTGATTGCAATTAAAGGTCACCTAAATTCCACTACGCAATTGAAGTAGATTTTTCAGATTAAACAACACTTTTCATACCAATATGTAAGCTACGAATTACTAGCCTCATAAATTTGCGATCTGATAATGCCGTCGCATATGAAGTGTGACACGACTATTTTGGTGAATGGGTTTACTTTTTTGTAAAAAAGAATCACAAATATACGGAAGCTACCATTAGATCTGATAACGATATTTATTGATTGTAAACATGTCAAATATGTGCAATTAAAAATCAGACATTGTGCTGAAAAATTAAAAAAATCAGTAAAGCATGAATTTGACCTGAAATATCATTGATAAAATCGCACGAATGTATTGGAGAATTCATTGTGTAAAAAACTTACAGTATTAATTGCCAAATCATCAAATAATTGATGGAAGTGATAGATGCGATTAAAGCTTCACGGCAGGCCGAAACGAAAATTGGCAACGTTCTACATATCGCCCGGATAGCTCAGTCGGTAGAGCATTGGACTTTTAATCCAAGGGTCGTGGGTTCAAGTCCCCCTTCGGGCGCTCCTTTTTTTATTTTCGCTTTTTACCTTCTCCTTTCAATGTTTCATCATTTTTTATATTCGCATCACAAATAAGAGATTTGAAACAAACAAAAAATTATTCTATCAAAAATGCACGATTAAAATTATTGTTTTTTCTTCAATTCGGACCATATATTTGCAGCAATTTAGCGATAGAATACTGAGACTGGGACTGAACAGTGTCATTTATTATAAAAAGTGTTCAAGACATATGTAGTATAATTTATTAACGAAAGTCATTCTTTTCTTAATCAACTCTTAAACTTGAAATTGATAATAAATAGCGCTTTGAATGGATGCTTAGTAAGTAGAAGTGATCGAAATTGGTTGTTTTCATACTGTAGAGTTGCATGAAACACAAGCGAAATTCAAAATATTTCGTGGCCAGTCAATAGATTGTGAATCTCGAATTCTGAACTTAAAAATCCATTTCTTATTATGAAAACAATGAGAGGTATTGACATTTGACAATGCATAAACAAAGATCAATTTTACTTTGATTTGACGATTTATTCGATTTTTGAATTTTTATTACATTTGTCTGTATTCTGTATTGAAACCAAAATTCATAAAATCACAGCAATGAAACACACTTTGTAAGGACATGGACTTGGGTACATTGGCATCTCATTTCGGCAATGACTGACGCGCGGCTGTCTTCATGGATTTGTACAGAGAGTACATAACCAACGCACTATAGATTCCAATGGCTGAAAATTAAATGTTTTGGAAAAGAAATATTATTACCCCACAAAATATTTCCATATCGCGGACATTATTTCAAAGAATAATTATTATTTACTATGGGTATTGATCAAACAAATTAATCTAACCTGCTCCAATAACAAAAATAATCCAAAAATAGATGTAAATAAAGCCCATTCCTTCATTCAAAATAGATTGCTGCAATTTTTGGTCCAATTTTGCGATTATATACTTAAATGTGTGGATCATAAGTCTAGGACCAAGCCAATCGATCGGATTTCCTATTGCCACTCGGATCGTATAGCCGACATCAATACACTGCACAATTATAAATGGCAGTAAGTAATTGTGTTTGTCCTATTGACAAAAGAGAAAAAAAAGATTATATGATGCATCATTCTGAAATGTAATTCTATTTGAAGTACTTACATAATAAATTCCGATGAGGCAGTGTATAGCTACCACCACTTAAATAATTATAATAAAAAAAGTTATAGCTTTTGTTTGTATATATCAATATCCAGAGACTATTTTAAGCGGCAGTTAGTATATTTTTCTGCAGTTCTAAATTGAAAAATGCAGTTGTACATTTTGTAAAATGATTGAAATGATTTGAAAAAGTGAGGACAATTTTGGTGGCAATGTCCTCTATTTTCGAGCTCAAAATTCTCAAATATCATCTGCTTCAAATGTGCAGTCCTCGAAAAATATTATGTCATGTCCTCGATTTTTTTCTGTTCTGCACTTGTAAAATTTTCTTAAAATAGTCTATTTTAGTCAATAACATATCTATGAAAAAACTTACTATATGTTATAGGTTCAAAGTATTCAACCCAATATTTAACATCAAATACGTTATGTATTGACACAATTAACCAAATCCATGCACATATAAGACCACCGGTTCTTAAGGTAAAGCAACAGCAACCGTTCACTTTCATCTTAAACTGGAAATGAAACGTTCAGAATTTTTTTTTAATGAAAAATGTATGTTAATAATGAAATTACTAATTTTCAACTATGTCCAATTAAAATAATCATGTTTAATGGTCAAAAATATGCCGAAAATTGGTTGAATAACCGCGATAAATCGTGGCAGACCATGATGGTCAATAACAAAGATACCATACTCCCCTAATTTTGAATCGAGGAATCAAAATTTGACCATAAAATTAACAAATTCTGACATCGACGTACAACGTGGAACAGACCATACATATGCACAGGGAGGTGTAAGCACGGATAACCCCCCTCTTAAAACGTCCGAGCTAACCGGGCAGACCAAGCGTTCAGAAAGACATACATTTATGCAAGCAATTGAATGATGCTTGCATCATTTGATGCGCATCGATTGTGCTGTCGCCATACATTCGGATCTTCGACAGCGCACGAAGTGCTCCGAACGCACAACGAAAGCACTAGCGATGCGCATCAAATGATGCAAGCATCATTCAATTGCTCGCATAAATGTATGTCTTTCTGAACGCTTGGGGCAGACTGAACAAATCAGGGGAATTGCACACAAATGATAACTAACCTCAATATGAACAAAAATTGACATAAAACTCAATTTATCCGAAGTCTCAACCGTTTTGGGATAAATTTTAGTATGCATTTTTTCCGCTCAAATGCCAAAGGGATATATGTTAAGCACTTAAATATTTGAGCGGAAAAAATCTGAACTAAAATTTATCCCAAAAACGGTTGAGACTTCGGATAAATTCAGTTTTATGTCAATTTTTGTTCATATTGAGGTTAGTTATGATTTGTGTGTGGAAGGGTAATTTCTTTAAAAGCTCCTAGCAAAATAGGATTTTTTTTAGCTATGATCCAAAAACCCTAGTAAAATGAGAAAAATTCTATCCAAAATCAAGAATTTTGTCGGTGGGCGCAGGTGAAGCACTTTTTGTATGGAAATATTTGTTGAAAATTCAATAATACGCCACCTATTAAAGACAATAAAGATTTTCGGTAGTACTGCTGTGTTGACACAGCTCCAGCGCAATGGGAGGAAATGACAGCAAATTTAAAATTGGCGCGCTGTTTAGTTTCGATTTGAGTTGTTAAATTACATTGACGTCCCCTTTGAAATTGGTGGCGCCACCGTCGGCTCAATGAGACTTGAAGTCTTCACATCCTGTCATTGCTCCAGCGGCGTACCTAGAGGTTAGCTTTAGGGGGGTTTTTATTTTTTTTCGTCAAAAACCTTGGCAAATCGAAAGAAAATTTTATTCAAAAGGCTATTCTATCTAGTGTGAACCTCCATTTCATTTTTGAGAAAATTGAGGAGCAAAAATGTCACCCCATTCATATTCAGTCCAATGAAAGCTATTTATAAAATAAAGGTCATACAAAACTGGAACAAAAAACTATTTTTAATTCACAGTTGTTCTGTGACTTTAAAGCGAGCCGAAATCAAGCCGATTTTTTTTAAAATTAAGTCGAAGAGAAGATATGGACACTATCTTACTAATAGAGTGGTTCGATTTTGAAATTTTTTCAAGAATCGAAAATCGTACCCCTATAACCTCTGTAGGAAGGTCATAGAAACATGACTATGACAACGAATTCGAAAAAAAAATGATTTTTGGTGATGCGCGGTTCCAGCTTGTGTTTAAAAAAAAAAACAAAGGAGTTGCGTATTTAGTACGAATTAGCACAAAATCATATGGCATTTTACATTGTGTGTACTATGTACAAATAATTTTCGACACTTTTTCATAAAAAATCACAAAAAAATTGGAATTTTGTATTGAAGTTGAAAAAAGTGTCGAACATTATTTGTATTGCAAAATTAACGCCAGATTCGGTTTTCTTTTCATTGAATTTTTAAAGTGCTTAAAATTCATCAAAATTTAATTTTTTTTAAAACCACCTGGAACCGCGCATCACCAAAAATCATTTTTTTTTTCGAATTCGTTGTTATACTCATGTTTCTATGACCTTCCTACAGAGTTTATGGGGGTACGATTTTTGATTCTTGAAAACATGTCAAAATCGAACAACTCTACTTACTAATAGATGGTTATATACTTAACTGAACTATTTGACTTAAAGTTTTGAGGAATTGCATATGAACGGATGTTTAATATTACTTCAATTCTCACCCTTTCATGTATCATATAGTTTTTGTGTTAACAAAATATTATCAAGATAATTCCAACCAGTTGAGCATATTACTTTTCCGCACACACCTAGTGTGAAAGGGGAAAGTATTGCAATGGGTCAAAATTTACGAAACCTCAAAAACATGTTTTCTGGACGTTTCTGAGGTCAGAGAACCCGAATCAGGCCGTTTTGAGCATGGTTGGTGTGGGTCTGTTCCACGTCGTACGTCGTACGTTGTCCGCCGTACGCAAAATTTGTCCATCGATTATCTCAGCCCCCGGAAAAGTTATTTAAAATCTGACTGTACAGGATGATTGGGGGTCCCGAGGAATAGAAATCATTAGATTTTGAGCGATTTTGGTCTATGGAAAAAATTGTCATGCCTGGAGTGATACCTATGAAAAAGAGTCCAATTTTCGTCCAAAAGTCATACTTAATATAGACTTAAACACTCAAAAATATGTATTGGGGGGTTTTTTGGCACGAGAAAACCAAATCTGAGGTTAGTTTTGAGATACAATCAACTTCTGATACAGTTTCCTTGAAAAAATCACAAAAAAATTGAATTTTTGTATGGGAGCCATGCCTGTATGCTACCTTAATGACGTAAAACTTTGCACAGACTATTTTTTACACAAAAAAATAACATTCTGAAAGTTTGATGAGATTTTAATCAAAATTAGGAGTACCGAATTCTTTCAAATGTCGTACAAATGGGTTCATCATGAAGTGTGAAAAATCTTTTCCGAGTACTTCTGCTATTAAATAAAAGAATATTTCGATGCCAAAGTTGAAACATATTTTTTGGTCTCGAACTTTACGCCGCTTGAAAGGCTTGAAAAATCGAACAAATATTATTTTGAAATAGCTTAATAGAATACGCATCTACCACCGTGCGGAAAAGTTCGTCTTACTCCTGTAAGACTCTTTATTTGATATGCATTACATGCATATTTATTCGGCTTGTAGATAAATTTTGGGTATAAACTATAAAGGGTGTTTAAAATGATTGAAATTGTAAGTTATATTTATTTCAATCGTGTAGAAACAAAGAAATAAAATACTGAAAAAAACGTACAATGTTAAGTTAGGTTTGCGAGCTTAGCGAGCAGAAATTTTTTTTCTGTATTTTTGAAAAATTGTATGAATTTTTTACATCTTTCTTCCTAATAATGAGAGCATGTTTTTTCATGGTAAAAATGGTTAAAGGGTCTGTCATAAAAGGGAGTAAGTTTTTGTTCATTTTAATTTTACGAAAGGAGTGTATGTGATTTGGCCAAATTGGTTGGAAATAAAGGAGAGTACGTTACTAAATTATTCTGGTTGAAATAAAAGTGAGTATGTGCGAAAATAGTTAATATATTTAACATTTTTCGATCCCAATGTAACAGGCGCGCAAAATCAGCAACATTAAATCTCTTCGTATATAAATACACAATCCTATTTCACAACAGCACGTAAACGGCAACGAGGGAGTGAAGCGAACGGAGTCTTTGTTGTCGTCACAGGCGCACATAAACAATCATACGTATCAAACACGAATGAACATGAGCTCTGCGCTTGATAAGTCACACACAGACGGCATTTGCTATTGTGATTTGTTAGTTTATGTGTATTTTGACTCACGCAACTGTGTAGCTGCTTCTGCGAGCCTATTACATGCGATTGATATTTCATCCAAAAATATTAATTAATTTAACTATTTTCATACTTTTTTTTAAATGTGAGTTGACAAATACTAACTCTTCTTTATTATGAACAAATTCAGTTAAATTACATACTCCCCTTTTGCTAAATTCATATGGCCAACAACTTACTCTCTTTTAAGCCAATCTAAATACCTCAAACTACATACTCTCTTTTATAAATTTTTAAATGTGATGCGACCTACTCCCTTTTTGCTATCAACACAATCGACAAAAGACATACTCTCGTTTTGAAATATTTTCAGCTCAAAAATGACATACTCTCTTCTCGATATTTTCAATAGCATTGGTATTCGCTTACTATTCAATAGGCATCACATAGCAAGTTTATATGAAACTCTCGGAGACTCGATATAGTGCACTCAAACAGTGAAAAAAAGTCCAGATCATGATTTAGATGATATGGAATGCGATTTTTTTCATTCTGATTTCACCAGGTGATATGGAAAATTGAGTAGTATTTGAGAATCGAAGAAAAAAAATTTAATTATTTATTTCATTTTTCGCCTATTTTTACCATCCAAATGGGAAGCTTGTATGAAAAACACGGAAGACCGCTGAAATGACAAATGCAAAATATGTGCGGACGTACGATAGTGTCATTTCAGCGGGCTTCCGTGTTTTTCATACAAGCTTCACACATAGATGGCAAAAATTAGCGAAAAATGAAAAAAATAATTAATTTTTTTTTCTTCAATTCTCAAATACTACTCAATTTTCTATATCACCTGGTGAAAACAGAATGAAAAAAATCGCATTCCATATCATCTAAATCACGATCTGGACTTTTTTTTCACTGTTTGAGTGCTCTATACCGAGTCTCCCAGAGTTTCATATAAACTTGCTATGTGATGCCTATTGAATAATAAGCGAATACCAATCGTGATTGAATCAATAGGCGTCATTTGGCTATTGTAAGGCGGGTTTATATGAAACTCTCGGAGAGTCGGTATAGAGCATAAAAAGTGAAAAAAAAGTCTGATTTCTTTTCTCAAATTTTATGCACAACTAAATGGCCTATATCATCTGGTGCGACTGATTGTAAAAATTTGCTATTTCTGTCACCCAAATCGTTGTTCAATGATATCTAACTCACCCTTACATGTTATTTTTCAATGCATGGCATTGTGTTTACAAACAACGTTCTATTGACACACAACTGCGCAATAAAAATTGCTGATACAATCCATTTAATTGTTTATGAAATTTAAGAATAAGAAGTTTTTTTTTCACTTTTTGTGTGTTCTATACCGAGCCTTCGAGAGTGTGAAATATTTATACCGTTAAACTGCGTCGCATATAAAAGCGAAACAAAATTCTGATACTAAAACAAGGCAGAACAGTAGCTAGTTATCAGCACAAAATGAAACTTACACATTTTGTATAATAAATAAAATGTCTTACATACGTAAGATGAACTTTTCCGCACTGTGATCCACAAAATTCATTTATAACTTATCTTTTACTTGAATTTGAACTCACGAAAAACTGAATCTGACATTAGTTTTGCGATACACATAATTTTTGACACACTTTTTATATAAAAATTACTTAAAATGGGAATTTTGGAATGGAATCAATCCTTGCATGACGACGTGAAACTTGACACAGGGTATTTTTCACAAAAAGCCAACATTCTGGAAGTTTGAAAATATTACTGTTTCAATACAATTTAGGGGTACTTCCCATACAAAATTGGGTGAAAAATCCAAAATTTTGTTCGGAAGGTACCCCTAATATGTATTGAAATGTCTTCAAACTCTCGGAATATTATTTTTGTGTGATAAAAATAACCTGCGCAAAGTTTCAGGTCATTACGATATCATACAGGCATGGCTTCCATACAAAAATCCAATTTTTTTGAAAATTTTGTATGAAAGGTGTGTCGAAATATATTTGTATCGCAAAACTAATGTCATATTCGGTTTTCTCGCACCCAAAAACCCCCCAATAAATATTTTTGGATGTTTAAGAATACATTAAATATCACTTTTGGGGGGAAAATTGAATTTTTCCCATGGATGGCCATGGGCATCACACCAGACATGACACGTCACTCTATCAACCAAAGTCGCTCAAAATCTAATGGTTTCTATTCCTCGGCACCCCCAATCATCCTGTGAAGTCAGATTTTGAATTACTTTTCTGGTTTGAAAGTTATCGTGTTAACAAATTTTTGCGTACAGCGTACAGGGTACCACGCACATACATTCGGACATCGAAAAAACGCTAGATTCGTGTTCCCTGGGTCCTAAAACACCCAGAAAACATGTTTTTTGAGGGTGTTAATTTTTCGACCGATTCCAATACTTTACCTTACACACTAGGTGTGTGCGGAAAAGTAAAAGTCAATGTTCTTTATTCCTTTGGTAACGAAATATTGTCTCGCTTTGATATGCAACCGTTTTGAGTCGCGTTTCGAAATGCGAGTAAACAATAAGTTGTTTTATTCTAGAGCGTTCAATTTTATCTAGTGTAAGCTGATTCTCAATGGGGGGGCTGATTCTCATCATTAAAATCACAGAAATCGCAGAATTAAATTTTTGTGATTTCTTTGATTTCTGTCAAATGTTGTGTATATTGTACCGCACACACACTATGTTTGCAACTTCTACTATAGGCGCACACTACCACAGTGAAATTAGCTTTGTATATAAGTGTATTTTATGTCCAATATTGAGGTTTGGAATCGAGAAATCACCGAAATCGCAAGAGTCAAAGATTTCATAGAAATCAAATAATTCACACTGGATTCATAGGTGTCTACCCCCTAGGCGAATGGGCACCGAATTGAGTGGAAATAAATACGCAGATTATTTTTCTTCTATTGGAGTGGTGGTCAGTGTCCATACAATATTTGTTCTGTTTAACGTTTTCAAATGCTTGAAAATGTCGGGACTGTAAATAATTCAATAGAATAAATATTGTGTGGCCACCAGCCCAACAAAAGGAAAATAATCTGAATATTTATCCCCACTCAGTTCATTTCATACGAAATCGTGGTTATGTACCAATGAACAGCGTATAATTAATAAAAAAAAAAAACAAAAAAAAATATTTATATTAGGAACTTACTTTGGATTACACCAATGATTTCCCTATTTATCTTTAACCTTGAACCACAAATGAATAATCGAAATTTTCAAATTTTTATTGGTAATAATGGTGGATGATTATTGATTGATAAAAGCTTTATTTTATTTTTCTTATAATGAGGACAACGATGTGTATGCCTTGAGCGCTCACAATGGAATAGAACTGAGCTACAAGTGTCTGAGCTCCAAAATTTCCGCTCTTCCAAATTTCCACATCCGCCACACAAGCGCACGGTTTTAACTTTTCCACACACACCTAGTGTGTAAGGTAAAGTATTGGAATCGGTCGAAAAATTAACACCCCCAAACAAAAAAATAACATTCTAAAAGTTTGAAGAAATTTCAATGCATATAACGAAAATTTTGTATGGTACCTTCCAAAGGGAAAATATTGCGATATGTCAAAATTTCAATACACCTTAAAACATATTTTCTGTACGTTCAGAGAACCTGAATTAGGTTTTTTTAGCATGGCTGTTGTGAGTATGTCACACTTTATCCGCTGTACGTAAAATGTTTCCATCGATTATCTGATTCCATAGATATTCAAGATCTCATTTTACAGGTTGATTGAGGGGTTGCGAGGAATAGAAACTATTTATTTTTGAGCGAAATCTGATGATCGGATAAAGTTTGCAAACATTGCTGTTCTAACAATGTTTATTTTTATGGTGGACGTCTGAGTGAACGAGCGTCTAAAATGTTCACTTGGGTAGCCCAATAAAATACGTATGGACCACTGTGCGGAAAAGATCGTCTTACTGCTGTAAGACTCCTTATTTACATGTGTGAAGCGAATAAATCAAATTTCTTATCATAGCTCATGCTTTTACGAGAAACTGATTGTAGTTGTTTCGGTAGCAACAGTTATTCCAATTTCGATTTGTCTGTCTTACGCGGTCTTACGTCATGAGTTGATTTTGTTCTTATTTATGTTTTTGTTATTTTGTCGAATTAAAACTTCCCAATTTAATAACACTTGACTTGTGATTATAAATTTCTCCAACTTGCTTCTCTTATTATCAGACAATATATTGAACTAACTGATCAGTTGAGCTGACAGTACGTTAGCCAGCTAAATGGACTCAAACAATAGAAGTTATTGTTATAATGAACAATCACTTCTATTAAAACAAGAAAAGTGATTCATCATTAAAACAATAACGTCTATTGTTTAAGCCCATTTAGCTGGCTAACGTACTGTCACCTCAACTGACCAGTTAATTCAATATATTGCCTGCTTATTATACCTAATCTATATTCCAAACTACCCAAAAAGTGATTCTAATGAAACACTTTTCATGAAGTTGTAATTGTAGCTATGGTCATTTGAATTGAAATTAAGGAAGAGAAACTCACAATAACAATTACCAATGAATAGAGAAATCAACTATTTTTTATTAATATTTTATGACATGCGATAGAATTTTAAACGTAGCACAGAAATTCTTGATATTCAATTAAATTATATGGGGATCTAAGAGGGGAACTTATTTAGATTTTATTATCAATAATTAAATCATTTTTAGCGTTGGAGATAGCGGGACATACCGAATACTAAAATTGAATGCTGCAAAATATAAAATAAGTTGAATGTGTGCCGCATAGGTCAAATTTTATTCTTATTCGATGTTTATTTTGAATAGAAAACGTTGAATTTTCAGCGAACAAATTGGCGAAGCACCATAAAGTATGAAAATCCTCCATTCACAACCTAGAAGAATGACATATTTGAATTAAAAGTATCTTTTGAATTATAATTTGAAATCTAAGCGTATAAATTCTTATGACTACCAGCAAAAGTGAGATGGATATCCATCTCCCGTAGAAGCGCCTTATTAAAACACAGTGAACACTGAACAGACTGACCCTTCAGTTATACTGTTCGAAAGTGTATCATAAATTCGCTGTTGAAATATTCGTTGTGCCCAAATGGCACATGTGAATAGAAGCTGCGAAAATGACGCTAATATATTCTAGGTTCTCTCTAAGGTCAGACTTTTTGAGAAAAACATATCGCACTTTTGCTGGTAGATCAGTTAATCTCGAAAGGAACCATTATTCACGATGATCACGAAGGGAGTACTACTTGGCATAAAGGTGGCAACAGACAAAGTGGTGTCCGTCCCAAAAAGGATTCTCGGTAGAATTTGGAAAAGTCGTTTCACCGTGCCTACCCCTCTGCATTGCCAACTTAAGGTCTAGAAAACTCCCCAAACAGCGCATTTTTCAAAAGATCGAATTCATACTCTGATAAAATTCTACAGTTCCCTTCTTATTGATATATGTTTAAATATTCGAACCTTTTTGAACGCTTCTCGTGTGCAATAAACATTTCCAAATCCACGAAGAACGACCTGTTTTCGAGTGGCGATTAAAATGATTGGAAACGTCCGTTGAATCTCAATCGGAAATGCATACCACTCGCATTGATAGAATGCATCACCAAGTAGATCAAATCGATCCGTTACATGTTGACCCAAATAACAATATTCAAACATCAAAGCAAATGACCAAAACATCATAATAAATGAACGAATCAAAACGATTGCATTCATCGTTTCCTACAATTTCGAAAAAAATACCAAACTTTATTTCAACATCGAAATTCAACAACGAAGCTAAGACATACGATGTTCCCTTGAACAATCAAAAGAGTGCAGCAAATGACGAGAATAGTTGCCAAAACGTAGACCAGAATTAGAATGTCATAAATGTTGCTGAAGTCCGTTGCTAACCTAATAGATCACCGTCAATAATTTGAAATAACAGAAAATTCTATAATGCACAACCTTGTGATATCCGCATGTAATTGAATCATTTCATATAATTTTCGTTTCATTCCAACAGTTTTGTGCGGATTTAAAGTTCGCGATTCGCTTTCGATATCTGCAATAACCGCAATTGACATCCAACAAAAACCAAACATAAGACAAAAGGTACACTGAACACAAAGCATCACGCAATAAATGGACGTCATTTGTAATGAAAAGGCGAATCCATATCCTCCAGGTGATCTCCAATCGAACGGATAGCTTTAATGACATTAAAAGAGATAATTTCATCAATAATTCAACGAAAAACAATATTATGAAACAGAAAAGTGCTTACAAAGCGGGAAATGGCAGTCGGAATGTTGCGTGTGGATTTAAATTGCCGGTGGTGATATAAGTGAAAAATGTGAACGAAAAATACGGCACGGAAACTCCAATCAATGACAATTTTACCCAAATGAAATGAAATATCTTGGTTAATTTTTCGATGCGCCCATTTGCTTCCTGATATATTTTCCTTGCCGCTGAAATATTTAAACCTTCGATATTTTTGTTAGAGATTTTCAATTATTTTTTTCACTTACGCCATTTCAATACTTACGTTTTTTTATGATACTCTCAAAATTGGCGATCAACTCAAATATCTGTGGCATTTTGTAGATAATCGACGAAAAGAAAATGCTTGGACCCAATCCGGTCGCTATGCCAAACAATGAGTCTGCATATTCTTCGGCAGTTTTCGCTTCAATCAACAAAAAGCTAACCGATGAAATGAAAAAACTCAAAACAAAAAGCCAAACCAGCAAATATTTTCGATTATACCAGTGACATCGTTTGGGACGAATGTCAATTGTTGCGAAATTAGAACGAGTTGATTGAAATATCTCCATCGCTTTTCAACTTGCTTAAGAGACTTAAAATCAAACTGATTGTATTGTAAAACGCGGAAACTTGAATTTTGAATATCGGAAAATTTATGGAATTCAAACAAAAGCGATGGTAGTTTTTGAAATGAGTGTTTGATTTGATATACATTGTTTTATGTCTTTTCATTTTATAGTATGATGAGTTGGATGAATTTCAAGATTGGAACTCAATAATAGAATTCTATTTTGTTAGAAGGTGTGAAAAATGTCACATTTTCACCACTTCCTTATTATGTATTGACACTTAATTATAGGCGTCGTGTTAAGATGTTATTAACACTTATTTGAAGATTTTTGTTATAGGAAACCATCATTATATTCCATAATGAAAGAGTATCAAAATCCAACTGTGGAGTCGCGTGGACAAGAAATTGTATTTTTCCCAATGTTACTTATTTGTTCTTAACATCATCAATTCAATCACAGAACGCACGTGCTATGGCCATGGGGCGAATCACGCTAGTAAATACTAGAAAAACTAGTAAATCTAGTGCGAATAATGACGTCACAAACGAAGCCAACTTCACACCAAAGGCCATATAATTTATATGAAAAACTACTGAAGGCCAACTTCACGCACTAGAATTTTCTAGTTTTCTAGTGAAATCTTATTAAAAACTAGATACACTAGAATTTCGTGATTGACCCCATGGTTATGGCAGTTTTGAATTGGTTTGGATCCGTATTCCTTTCTATAAGAGGCCTTCATTAAATTTATTCGATTTGAAAACCAAGAATTTTTAATGGTTTTATGAGACACGATGAAAATTTTAATTCATTTTTCGCTTAATAAGAGCCTTATTTGTTTCATCTTTTATTTTGATGTAATCTATTCTATTTCAGTCAGACCATATAACATATGTCCATAAAGTTTTGGCAGTAAATTCAGGCGTTTATTGCGCCACATAAACAAAATCAAAAATATCAACCAATGCACACGGCACGTTTATCAGTACCTCGGGACTACTATCAAACTCAATTCGATGAAATACATCCATTCGCGGAGACGTACAAATTGGATTTACGAAAAAGTGTCTCAAATGGTTGTGGCGGCTAAGTTCAAAACAAATTTCGCATGTGTCTAAAGATGAACCCATCTGCCTACGAACCACATATTGTGTTTCATGGACTTAGTATGAAGACAAAGATTCTAGAGAAAGCAAAAAGTACGGTCGTATTCCCTATTTAAATGCTCCAACCCTCCAAAATTGTCATCAAGTACCGAAAACCGGGTTGGTCAAGCAAAAATTCGTTTTTGGTGATTTTTATGGTTACAGCACATCAAAATTTGAACCAAAACAATAGATTTAGACCCGGTCATTAGGAATCAGCAAAATAAGTAATGAAAAAATTCAATAGGGTGTCAAAAATTGGGTATTTACTTCACCTCATAGCATTTTGCACTGAAAAATTCATCATTTTGGACAGTGAAACATTCATCGCTATGTCGAACCACGAATCAAGTGCAAGTGGTTTCTTTTGCATTGATTATGTTAGGGCACTACTATATAAGGCTAGAGACGTCGACAAACCGAACTTTGATAAAGGCATGTTTGTATGGTAGGATCTTCTTTGGAAGGTGTTTTAGAGCCAATATTCGAGAATTTGGTGCTGAAACGTAAGGTAAAACCTCCATTACATGCTCCATTATCAACCAATTGTTGTTGAAATCGATAGAATTCATTGAGAACTAAAATTGGTTTATACCAATAAAAAAGAATTTAAAATTGTATGTTTGTTGTTCAAATGGCGAACATCTGAATTTACTGTCAAGACTTTATGGACATATGTTATACTTATTTAATCGATAACTTTTCCGTTGTTCAACTAAAGGGAAAGCATTTTTGAGCATTAAAATATTTATAGTATTCACCAAAATGTAAGAGACTTCCGAAAAAGTCTTATTAGGAAATAGTAATTTGATTAAGATTTTTGTTTTTGCATATTGATAAATGATAATGCAATTACACAATGTTTTTGATTTTACAATTTGCATGTCATGTATGATGTTTGTTTCAGTTCGACCTTCTCTGAGAAGGTGATGAGAAGGCTTCTCATCAAAACAAAAAGAGGTAAATTTTTGAAAAAGAAGACTTTTTGTTGCAATTTTTCTAAAACGATAATTCGATTTACTGAAAAAATTGTTCAAAATCAATCATTTCACTGATATTGTCCGATTCGAGTCAAGAAATCAACATTTATTATTCAAATTTATTCAATCAAATTAACCGATAAGCTGTTTTTCGTATGGCGCATGGTGTCAGATGATAACGGTGCCGTATTCAAAATTGTTGATATGTGCATATAACGAAGTCACCACACTCGATCACATAACACCTTCGGTAGCTCAGTTGGTAGAGCAGTGGACTGTAGAGGTAAACAACTAATTGAAATCCATTTGTCATTGGTTCGACTCCGATTCGAAGGAAACTATTTTTTTTTCTCTTGAATATTTTTTTATTTATTAAAAAGAGACTCTTTAAATTCACTGAATAATATTCAGCAAAAACAAATTTTTCGGTACAAAATCTCATTCCACAACACCTGATTTAGGCGGATGATTGGATTTTTGGAATTTTCAAGGAACAAGTTTCAACCGTTGTGCATAGATACAAATTGTATAATTGAACATGGGGCGAGTATGAAAAACACTTTTCTATGCTACAGTCAGAGGTAACTCTGAATAAATCATGAGGACAGATTCTTTCATCGAATTTTTATCTCAATCATTCAACCCGGTCCATGCATTTCTGGTGATACAGAATTATCTGACCGAACAGCAAAGGCCGAACATGTCTTGAACATTTAATAGTCTATAATCATGTTTTTCAAAAGCACGAATGGTAACTGGAAACATAGGCTCTCTTGCGTTTATTTCAATTTACTTATGTTTGAAATTTCAAAAGAATAAAAGGTATTGAAATCATCTTTCATAGTTTCAATTAATCAAAGAATATACATCTCTACCGATCTATATCCAATCAGAAGCTACAAAATGATGGCAAAAACTCCACAAAAGTGTCATTTTTCCCAAAGAATTTGACAAGCCAAATGAAATTTGTTCTCGAGACCTACTTTTTTTAATTATTTCTTTAATTCATACGAACAATTTTGAATAATTTTTGAGATTTGGTTGACAAAATTTCTCTGAAAACTCAACAGTTTCTCCATTGTACATTGTGGGCACTGTGCCCTGAATATGACGCTGGTGAGCATGATGGACGTATTGATGATGAGCATCGTAGGCGTGTTGTTGGTTTCATTGTCGACGCTAGATATATATAGGCCATTTTAAGCACTAAAAAATTAAAACAACATTAAAATCGTAATCAAAATCGCATTCATTTATACCGTACCTGTTAAACCAATCATAATATAGTCCATTCCGTTTAGTTCACCTTGCCTTTTCGTCCAATATTGAATAACAACAAGAATCCAATAAACCGTAGATATGATCAACATAACTAATGAATATTTGAAATGTTCCTGAATTCGAATAAATCAATTGATTCAAATTAAAGTCAAAGCCATTTGAAGAAACGATTTGAAGAAAAATGAAAGGTAAATTCTTAAAAAATTACATTGTATACACCATACAGCCACACGGTGCTTGCAACTAAATACAATACCGAAACAAACAGGATAGTGTATCGAAGTTCATGGAGATCTTCTGGTGGATAACTTTTTGCGATGCTTGCAATCCATTCTTTCGCCATTTGTACAAATCCTGCCATAAATATGGATCCGGAAATACCGGCATAACCCAAATATTTTCCGAAATCTTTCCCTTCATGCACCATTTTGTTAACTCTATCTCTTTTGTGAATATAATTTTTCGTTAAACTCGTAATCTAAACAGAAAATTTGCTGTTGCGTAGTAACGTTCGACTTTCTATAATGAATTTTACAAACGAAACCAATCTATTCGATTATTATGTGTACTACGTTTAAATGCAATAAGGCCTACTAAAATATTTGTCAGCTATAGCAGTGCTAGTGAAAAGAAGAAACATTGTTTGCTTTGATATTTTGAGCGCCGATTTTATTTTGTTCAAATTTTCAAAAATATTTCAATTTTTCTTGGCTTTTCGACTCATTTAATCAGGGATTTGAACCTAATCATGATTACAGGTAATAATTGCCGGTGATCAGTAGTGTTCAAAGGGTGGAAAATTACCCCTCAGGGATTCGAAAAATTCTTCGATTTGCTAGTTTTGACGAGAGAAAGTACTGGAAAGGAAGCAATATTCGAACAATTAGCATCATACCATAGCAAAAGGTAAAACACATGTGGCAAACACCTTAAATATATCATTTTGTAGGAATGGTGCAAGTTTTAACTGTAGACCCATTCTAACGACAATAATATACATTCATGTGGGTTCCATTTCTGGAGGAAAGTTGGGGGCTATAAAAGGTGTTTATGTACGACCCTTGTGCCCATGTACGAGACGACCTAAATAGAAATATCCTGTTTTTAGTGGTGCATACATTCTTATTGTTGCGATGCACAAAATCCATTAAAATAACTAATAATTGCAAAACTGAAAGTGTCTTCACTTGAAAATCATAAGGTATTTTCCTTTATTTTTTAAATTCACACAGCGTTTTTGTTGGTTTTGGAGTTAAATCCAGTCCTTAACACGATCTTTTTGAAAACCTGCCATATGCATTATATGAAGATCGCAGTGTATTCGGCGATTTTCCGAAGGAGGAAATCTCTTTTATCGGTTCCACGGCCGTCATAGATAGAAAACTGAAAGTCAATGTAATAACTGAAAAGATTTTACAAAACAACAACAAAATTAACACATTACACGCTCAAAGTAATTCAAGCTATTACCTAAGGGGAGAATCACAAAAGAAAAGAATTAATTGGAAATAATCGATAAGTAATCGACAAATAATCGAAAAATAATCGTAGCTTACAAGTGTATATATCAATAAATTGAAATAAGGCGACCACATAAATAAAAAGAAATCTTAAATGAAAACTTTCCATTACTGAAATCGCGATAGCTAAAAAATAGCTGAAAATTGAGATTTTTATGATTGATTGATGATCGTTGTAGCGGAGATCTGTGCATAGAGAAAAAAAAATGGAATTTATTATAAAATTAGTAGCAGAAAATTAATGTATTAATTTGGTTGATTGTGTCATTGGTTTACAAATTGTGTATTCTCTTCTTTTGTATATACTTACCTCACATGCCGAGTTCCGCAAGATTTCGGACCGTGAAAACGGGATTCGGTTCTACATGTCGCAGTATGCACAAACCGCGATATAGAATGTTGCGACCCGCATTTACGTCCCGATTCCACACCACGATCACAGTTCCAAGTCGGCCGGCCCGGTTGTTTTTAACTATCCGTACAATCTTTGAAACCATTCGTTGTGGTTGTGGATTTGGTACATCCATTTGCATTTGTTCATCACCGTCAACGATAATGAAAATGTCTTCTTCTTGTTGTTGTTCTTCTCGTACTTCCACTACTTCTACTTGTTGTACTACATCAGCGACCAATGGCATCACTTCATCTTCATTGTTCACATTGGCTGGATCTGGTGCTGCTGCATTGTTGACGTTTTCACCTGCATTCAAACGACGACGTAGTTCTCTTTTCAAACGACGTCGCTCTCTTCTCAAACGACGTTTACTTTTCCTCGTCCAAACTACATGTGCTGGTTCTGCAAGGATCTTTACAATACAATTCAAACACGTTCTGTATCGTGCTTTCGGTTGATTGTTTGGCGCTTGCAATACGGTCCAGCATAGGCTGCACAACATTGTCGTTCGATTTTCATCTACTACCAAACACTTACATCCACGTCGTCGATTGAAATAATGCACATAGCGATTCGTTTGTGGTGTTTCTGGATGGCCTTTGAGACCTTGTCGCATCTTTGCGCCGCCGATGACAATGAGCGTTGGTTTACCTTGACACAATTCGTTTGTGATTTTATCCATCGCTTTTTGTTTCTTGATGAAACCACCGAATGCCAAATAGGTATACTTGAGCGAACAGTAAACTTTGATTTGTTCATTGAAAAAACGAAAATGGTGATTCGCAAAATCAACATAGTGCGGACATGTTTCGGAGATCTCCGGATACGTCATTCGGTCTGCCAACAAACGATCTTGCAACTTTGTGTCAAGTTCTTCACGCAATTTCTTTTGTTTTTTCGCATTGATTAGGCGATAATATTTGCCAGCCTCCACTCGAATATTGCGCTCGACTATCACGTCATTATCTCGATATTCCCTGGCAACACCAGCAACTGTTAGTCTTTTGCCTGGATCCAATCCGAGCAATCGTTCGAATTTGCCACCTTCAAAATCTTGCGAAAGTCGTTCGATTCGATCTTCGTCGGTTTGTTTAACAATTGTTTTGATGCAGTTCAGAGACACGGCCACACCATCCGTGTAAATTAGTTGATTGAAATATTTCTTCGGTGTTGTCGGTATGATTTTTTCATAATCGAAATATTTCTGCCACATTTTTCGGACTAAACTTTTTTTGGCGAGGAACTCGTCTCGGTCGTAAGCTTTCGGTGTTTTGGTCGGTTTACGTGGCTTGCGACCGACGGCAGTCAAAGCGTCGAATAAAGATCTCGAATCGAACATGATGTGCCGGCGCTGAAACGTGGCCAATGGAACAACTTTGAATCGACTGATGTTTTCGATTCCTTCTTGTTGTGCTTCATAAATGAACTTTTGCAAACGAAATAACAATGGGACATGCTGCATCCATGTTAGTTTAATGTCCATGAACATGCCACATTTATTTTCAATGTTCGGCTCCAGCAGCACGGTGAATGCGTTAACTAAATCCGCTTCATACTCAACTGTGCCATCAAACAAGAATCGAATTGTGCGATTTACGACATTTTTGTTATGGTTTTTTTGTTGTTTTGTATAGGCTGGATGCAGACTATTTTGCACAAACATGAAAAATCGACGTAGTCGAGCCTTCGTGTGTATCACAATGATGAGCATGAAATTTGTGTGATACTGTTGGTACATGTACTTGATTTGTTGCGCTATATTATCGCTGGTTTGGAGGACATCCTCACCATTTCGCAACATAATATCGAGAAATTCCGGTGCATGTTTTTGAATTGGATAGTCATCGCTTCGGCACTTGTCTCGCAGCACGCCGTAAAAATATTCGGACAACATTTGCTGTGTCTCCGACCATTGATTGTTTGGACGGTCAGTTTTGTTGAAAAATTCGGTAATTTCCTCCAGTGTGCCCTCTTCCATCTTTTTATTGAAGATGAAATGAATTGCACTCGATGCTTGTATCGCAATTTTCGTGCATCGCACCACATCGTCAGAGATGCGGTTTAAAAGCAAGCGTTTTGCATTTTCATCATCGGGTATATCATTTAATACACCTCTCAAACCAGTTTTAACGGTAAAATTTACCTGATCGAATTCGACTTTCGGTGCCTTTTTCGTTTCGGTCGGACCGACACTGGTGCTGGAACTACAGTGTGCTGCAATCTCTTCTTCGGTCAAACGATTCAGCAGTACACGCGGTTGCATACTGTCATCTTGATGATGATGTTGATGATGATGATCAATATCGCGTGGATTGTGTAACGCCTCATTTATTTCGGCTTCAGTCAATATGTTTAATTCGACAAATGGCTGGAATTCGGGTCGATTTGTATCAATAGCTGATGGTGGCACTGATGTTGACGGTTCAACACTGTCAGTTCGACGTTTGCGTTTTCTTGCCATGTTAACTGTAGACAATAATGAAATGTTACATTAGAATATGTAAACCTTAACGTAATATGAACATATATATGACAAATTTTGATCAAAAATTAAAAAAAAAAATGTAAATGCACAATGTCTTTGAAAAAAATATTTTTTTTTGTTTAGTTTCTCGTTTAATTCCGTTCTAATTCTGTTCAGAATATTCGAATAAGTAGCCTTTGAATGTGCACAAAAGTACCGCTACATTCACAAAACACGCAATAACATGTTTGAAAACCACAGCATTGTCCACAATTGAATGCTCAATATAAATATATGGCACAACACAAAATTTAATTTAACAAAAAAAAAATTACACATACCTTTTCTTTTTGCGATCGGAAAAAATAAAATGAAACCAACAATGTAAATGCACAATGACTTGGAAAATGAAAAAAAATGCTTCTTTTAGTTTCACGTTTAATTCCGTTCTAATTCTGTTCAGAATGTTCGCACAGTTTGTGTGTCAAACGACAAGTGAAATGTATTGTGGTGCGATGCCGGCAAAAAATACACAGACTCACACAGATGCGCATTCGATTTTGGTTTATGCGCGCCATGCACAATACCAATACAAAAATTTATGTCAACGCAGTTTTCAATTTCACAATACAATACATTTGAATATGCTTACCCGAATGTGATCTTTTGTCGTTGCTACTGTTCTCGCAGTATTGTCCATTCGCTACGCCATATTGCCGTTGCCGCTGTGACGTCGTTCCGATGCAATAGCAAATTGTGTGTACGGCATTAATTCCATGTGTGTTGTTCTCTCCACTGCTACTACTACCACCACAATCAAATCTCAATTTTCAGCAAATCTTTTTGCTGTCGCGACAATAATGTAATAAATACATGTGGTCAAGCCTTACATTCTAATGGTTTTCAATAATCTCTCACTCACTCAGTCGCCCAGACACACAGTCTCTCTTTCTATCCTACATACATTCTGTTTTCTTCATTGTCATTTGGCAATGTCATAGTATGGATATTAGAATTAATGTATAATCGACAAATAATCGAAATAATCGAAAATAATCGCAATAATCGAAAAAGAATCAATAACAATTATTAAATAATAGAAAGGTAATTTTTAAGTGAATTGCCCCT